GAAACCATAGAAAGCTAGAGTCACTAAAAATCACCTTAAGTAAGTGGTGCACATCTTGTTTTTTATTGGCCATCTGACACAACCTAGTGTCACCTGGAAGACGGAGCCTCAGTTGGAGAACTGCCTAAATGAGACACGTGGGCACATCTGTGAGGCACCGTCTTAATTGTTTACTGATAGAGGAGGGCACAGCACACTGCGGACAATACTTCTCCTAGGCACAGTCTGAGGCTGCGCATAAGTGAGTGAGCTAGTAGGTACTGTTCCTTTAAATTCTTGCATTCCTGCACCGACTTCCCTCGATGATGGAGCATGACCTGGAAATTTAAGCTGAAATAAATTCTTTCCTCAAGTTGCGGTGGTTAGACTGTTTTACCACAGCAGCAGAAAAGCAAATTAGGAAAGTTCGCCACCACTCCCTGCTCAAAGGAAAGTTCTGAATCCACAGGAAGCTATGGCCTATTACCTTGTGCCTGAAGCCATATGCACCCCTGCTCCTGGAGCACCGGATCTCCAGCCCCTCCCGTGAGTCAGGAATCAGCTACAGTTCCACAGAAGCAAGGAGATGCCACAAAAAAAGGCCTGCAGTATCCCGACATACTCTCCGTGCACCGCTGAGTCTCCCTCTGGCCCTTTACAAAGCCGAGGCTCTCATAAATATCGAACCTGCTACACAGAGGTGGGGACCACTGTCATTTCTGGCAACGCAGTGTGGATCCTGGGCCCGATTCTCGGCTGTGAGAATCACTGAGTTGCACACACTCTGAAGAAGTGTTACTGTGAGGATCCACACCTCCCAGGCAGACGCTTTGGCTCTTGCTCCCACCCCTGCCCTGGCCCAGTTTGGAAGGGAATGCATCCAAGCTCCGGCCCCACACTTCTTCACAGCCACAATTTTTGCACTAGGTGCTAAATCCCTCTCCCCCACCTGTGGTTTCTTCTGCCCCACACCTAGCACCTTACTTCCTGCTTCCTCAAACTCCTCTGAGCCAGAGAGAGCTCCTAGAAGACAATGAATCCCCAGGTGCGGACTACAGTACCCAGAGAAGCAAGTAGAGGTCTGACACTCAGGGATTCTTTCAATTACCCCAGCAGTTCCTCAAACATGTCCCTGGGTCTCCCAACAGGAGTCCCTTTTTCCTGTCATCCCAGAATACTTAGCTAAAGGCTCCATGCACTGCGAGACCCCACTTACACGTTCACAGGGTACAGTTAAGGCCTATTTCTCAATCTAAATTAAGTAAATTCTTCCAGAGGTAAATATCAGCTAGCTATCTCTAACAAACCCGGAGAGGTTAGACTTCAGGGCAAAAAGCAATTGATCTGGCTATGTGAACCAGAGAAATGGCTACATCCTCGCTGGCTACCAAACGTGAGGTTCCCCAATATTATAGCCCTAGTCACAGCTCGGGGCTGGATACCAGGCTGCCCTGGGAATCCTGGGGACCACAGTACAAACAGCAATGGTGTTTTGAGGGCAGTGAAAGCCACCAGGGCAAGGAGCTGACCAGGTTCACCACAGCGGAAACTCGCACAGGGCTCAGATGCAGCTGCTAGCTGAGAGGTCAAAGAGACAAAGGTTTAAAATACCCAGGTCTACAACTGACCTCCTGTGTGGCCCTGCTTTAGGAAAAAAATGGCAAGTTTTCTGGGTTTGTGATTGGAAATTTGTCTCCTATCTCTTGCCTATGACATTCCCAGAAGACATCTGTGCTCTGTACCAGGAATTACCCTATCAACTGGATCGCTGGTTTTGGTTAAAAATGGTCCCAGGTTTTGGTTAAAAAAACAACAACAAATTGACAAAACAAAACAAAAAAAACTCACAAAAACTCCCAAGTCGATCCAAATGTCCGTCAGTGATGGGGATTCTTGCCTAACTATTAATTACAAGCGGAAAAGGGAGGTTAGAGCCTTGGTTTGGTTTGCCAAATGGCAGAGATAATGAGAGGAGGCCCTTCTCAGCCTAGAGGTCCTTCCACCTCTCACTGCAAAGTGAACATCCCGGGGAGTCATGTGAGGAGAGAGGCTGGACAGGCCAGAGGGAAAGGGTGGCGGGGTGGTAATGTGAGCATTATACACACGATATAAATAGGGTGGGACACAGGGGATGAGCAGAGGAGGTCAGAGAAGTCGGAAACAGATTCTGAAAGAGCTGGCCACACTTAAGAATTCTGGAGTCTAGCTGAGCGTGGCGGCACACACCCGTCAGCCCAGCACTGGAAGGCTCAAGCAGGATGATGGGCACACATACAAAGTTAACCTGGGTTACACGGCAAGACCCCGTCTCAGGACAGTAACAGAAACGACTCCCGGAAGTCCCTCTCTCCTCCCCTGGACTTGTATAATTGCTGTTCTCTCAGGCCCAGCTCAGTCAGATAAGGAATTCTGATTTTCATCCCAGCATTCTCGGGAAACCACTAAGGGTTTAAGTATGATTTACTGAGCGTCTACGATGCTTCAGGAACTGAGGCCACACAGGGAACAAAAGAGGCATTCCTTGCCATCTAGAAGGATCTCTCTAGTGGCTGCAGCAAGCAGATTCAACATCAGGGACTATATATATATACATATCACCTCTCACCTCAACTGGTGCTACTCCAGTTACGATGGCCGTCTTCCTTTTTGCCCCTCCAACACACTCAGCTTAGCGTGAAGTGCCAGTGTGCTCACTGGTGAAACGCCCCCCAAATGCTTTCTGGCACCCCAGGAATAAAGTCAAAAATCTTTCCCTTCCTTTTCCTCAGAGAGCGTCCTGTGGACCCAGGCCTCCTCCGGTCTCCCAGCTCAACTTTCCACCACGCCCACCTGTAACTCCATCTCCAGCAGAAGTGAAACCACGCTCCCACCCCGCCCTCATACTGATTCTTCCCTGCCTTTTCACTTTTGACTCCTTTTCCTGTGGAGTTCTCAGCTGAACACCTCCCCCTCTGGCAATGTCTCTGTCGTCAGCTCACTGAAGACACGGTTCATTCCGGGAAGGTTCAAGAACTGGGCGAGGAAATGGCTGCAGAGGAATTAACTTACTATAACGGTGATGTTCACTCCCGTCTCTCCGTCTTCCCCCCACCACACACTGCCTGGTTTTCCATTTCAAAGAATGGAATCACAAGTCCAGACAGCCCATTCTGTTTTACCAACAGGGCAGTGGGGTTCACTCTTGAGACTGTGCTGATTTTGCTCATTTTCACTGCTGCTCTGTTCGTACTTCTGGTGGCCATCTGACTTATTTACAGTTTGGACCGTTAGAAACACCATCCCTGTGACCCTACGGGCACACACACAGGCACACAGACCCTCGATTTTACTAGAAAGGTCCAAGTTGTTTTCAAAGCAACGGTGGTGATGTACGCTCCCACCAACCAGCTCCACAGACTCACCAACACCTGGCACCACCATCTTTACAAATCTGAATCTCATCATGTGTAACATGAAAAGAGACGAGGAAAACAGAGAGAGAGAGAGAGAGAGAGAGAGAGAGAGAGAGAGAGAGAGCGCAAGGAATTTGAAAGAGGCCAAAGACACTGCGCTCTCTGACCCACTAGTAAATGTAGTTTAAAGTTTACCCTCTGGTTATCGGAGGGGCCTACAACTTTCCTTCCCCTCCACCGCCCCCTCCCCCCGTAGTAACTTTCTCTCCAGTTCATTTCTGGGGGGTCCATGCTTAGAGTGGAGCTCTCCCTCAGTTCCAGACTGAAGGGGAAAACATCAGTATATTAACAGCCCACACCCTTTGGTTCAGGGAAAAACACAAGTCCACTGCAAGTCACAAGGAGACCTAGCTGGGAAAGGGGAAAAGTCTAGTGATTTCTCGGGAACTGGGAAGAGGTAAAGTCATTTGGTTTGCAGCTCCTGCTGCGCAGACTGATTGCTAATCTCTTGAGAAATAAGCCAATCTAGGGAGATGAAGGAGAAAAGCATACCCTGACAGCACCTTTTCAAATCCTGTGCCCAAACTTAGCTCTACCCTGAAACCCGTCAGCTCAATAAACCCACACCAGCCAACTGACCGAGACAGGTGAGCACACCCTCTAGAACACAAGAGACCTCCAGCCTGCTCTGGGGCATCACAGGTCCTCCTGTGGCTCCTAGAATTCTGAGCAGGGAACCCAAGCCTCATCTTCTACCATCTGCAGTCACTCAATCAAAGCCGTACCACAGAGTCCTAGTAAGTCACCTGGGTTTGCACCTGGCCTCAGCCACCCTGTTGAGAAGAACAAGGCTAGAGTCTTGACTTTCCTGGGCTTCCATACCACCATGAAGAAATAAAGGTGTGAATCACAGAGCCATTCACAAAACAAACTGACAGTAAGGTTCGGCAGGTGTACCAGCACACTTAATGTCAAGTATAAAGGCACTGCTATTATTAGCAACAACCAAAGCAGGATAAAAATGGCTGACATTTGGGGAGAATAGGTTTTCACAAGTTGGCTATCAGGCAGGAATGGGCCAGTTCATCAATGTAGCAGGGGCTAGCTGTTGTAGAACTATAGTGGCATTTCAATCGTATTTTAATAAATAAAGCTTACCTGACGATCGGGAGAGTAAAACAGCCACACTAGTCAGCCTTACAGGTGTATGATAACTCACGCTTTAATCCCAGTAGACACACTAGTTGCCATAGAAACCGGGCAGTACACGCTTTTAATCCCAGCCCTAGAGAGAATTATAAAACGGGAGGAAACAGCTCTCAGACACAGTCTCATTCTGAGATTCCTGGAGGCAGGATAGCCATTTCAGAAAGGTCAAGGTTAGAGCCGGTGACTGTCTGTTTTGCTTTTCAGATTTTCAGGTTGAACCCCAATTTCTCTCTCTGGGTTTTTAATTAATTGTGCTTCATAGAACAAAGTCTCATCTGTTCCAATCTAGCCTCAAACTTGCTAGGTAGTCAAGGCTGATCTTACACCCCTGATTGTCCTTTCCTTACCTCCCCAATGACGGGACTCCAAGAGGGTGCCACCCTACCCAGCTACACCAGTGTTTCTGACGTTACAAATGGTGGTCTCCTCATCCTCAAGGATGGGCCGCTTTCCTATTCTGTGTATATAGAAAGAGGGGGCAGAGTAAACCTACCCCAGTCCAGGCTACTGTTCCTAGTCTGTACTGTGGATGGGAGACCTTGGGGCATAGGGATCACAAACAGGAGGTATGGCACAGCAGCACACAACTTTAATGCTGGGAGGCAGGGACAGAGGCAGGGAGATCTCTGAACTCCGGGCCAGCTTGGTCTACAGCTAGGAATCTAGTGAGGCCCAGTCTCAAAAATAAATACTCACAAATGGAGCCGGTAACTCAAAATCTACCCATGGGTAAGTGTGACGAGGATTCGTATAGTGGGGGCAGAGCATTCAAGGAAGCCATAACGAGTTACTATTTTTCATCAAAGTTGAGATACCTATAATATATCTTAGCATCTCTGATCAATGTCACACACCATTTAACTACTTAACAAATATCATTAATATTTAGCAAATATTGCCAGATGATGGTGGCGCACGCCTTTAATTCCCAGCACTTGGGAGGCAGAAGTAGGTGGATTTCTGTGAGTTCGAGGCCAACTTGGTCTACAAGATTGGGATCAAAGGTGCGTGTCTTCTTACTTAACGGTCCGGACTAGAAGTGGATTGACTCACTTCAAACTAAGAGATGGCTCAGGGGGTAAAGGCACCTACCACCTGACTTTTTTTTTTTTTTTTTTTTTTGGTTTTTTGAGACAGGGTTTCTCTGTGGTTTTGGAGCCTGTCCTGGAACTATCTCTTGTAGACCAGGCTGGTCTCGAACTCACAGAGATCCGCCTGCCTCTGCCTCCTGAGTGCTGGGATTAAAGGCGTGCGCCACCACCGCCCGGCAACCCCACGTGATGGAAGGAAGAGAACCAACTCTTGAAAGTTGTTCTCTGACCTGGACACACACCATTCACACACTAAATAAACTCCTCGGAGGGGAGCGGGGATCTGGCACAAATTTACACTTTCAGCCCCCAATCCTGCTTCCCCTTGCACAGTTCCCCAGAGTAAGAACATAGGGAGAGGCCCTTCACGTCCCACACTCCTTCCCCGTCCTTGTACATTCTGCCCTCTCCACCCAGCTAAGCCTTGAGTAAAACTGTCCCCTACTTCTCTCCTTCCATACTTCTATGATAACACTATCACTCTGCTTTATAATGGACGTGTTTTTGGTGAGGGGTGGGTATTCTCAGACAATCAGAATGTGAAAATAAGAGTCAAAGATCTTTTTACCCCCAGTAGCTGGCACAAATCAGTGAATCATGTCCATAAAATGCCATTCCCATATTCGAGACCTACGAGCTTCTCTGCTCCCAATTTTCATGAAACTCTGATTCCCACTTCACAAACCTACTTCAGCAGCAGGACCTGAGTATTAGGTGTCGTCTGCCCCATCACCCAGATTTTCTCCTACCCGCCCCTCGGGGAAGGCCAGCATCCAATATTCCACTCCCATCAGTCTGGCCAAAGTCTACTTCATCCTAAAGGCCAATCTTAAACTAACCCTTTGTATTTCACAGACAACTTCTTCCCACGTATTTGCTATTGTGATCCTGGGAGTATAAGTCGGACGCGACCTCCAGAAGCCTTAACCCAAAAGGTTCCACCTGAGTTAGTTTGTAGAGTTCCGTGGTAACATCCAGTCCTGCTTATTATTCTCTTGTAGAAAGTAACGAGCCAGTCACTACCCTTGTGCCCCAGTTTCCCTCTTTTTTTTTTTTCTGAGACAGGCTCTCACTATGCCTCTTTGGCTGGCCTGCCATTCACTATATGGATCAGGGTGGCCTCGGAGATCAGCCGACCTCTGCCTTGTCAATCATCATTCCAGCTGGCAAGACTCAGCTTCCCGACAGCTTCCTTCCTCTTCTTCAAGTTGCTTGTCAGCAGTGTGCCACGTGCCTGCAGCGTTCGGAGGAGGGTGCTGGATGGTTAAGAGCCACATAAATGCTGAAAACTGAACCTAGGTCCTCTGAAAGAGCAACAAGTCCAGTTATCCGCAGATCCAACTCTCTGGGCCCAGCTTTCTCTATCTCTTGACAAGAGGAAATTGTTTGGCCAAGTTTACCAACTTGTTTGAAGTTTGAAAGGTCACATAAAAAATGCCTGAATGTTCAAAAAGCACCATTAAAAGAGGAAGGACTCAGAGGCAAGAGTCAAAGCTGCACCAATCTGAGCAACAAAAAAAGTACGACTGAACTATAATCCAATGCCTAAAACCAACACCTGCAAGTCCATACTGATATAAATAAATGGACGAATAAATTAATGAGGGGACACATTTCACATACAGAATTTAAAATTCATAACTCCCTAATTCCTCCAATGAGCAGAACCGTAGTTGGACTTCAAATACGGTATGCAAAGGAAGAAAAAACACAACGCAGAACTTGACACTGTAGAAAACCACCACACAGTCAGCTGGTGAGCAGGTCAGCATCATCATAAATCTTGACAACATGACATCCCTGCTAAGGTGTTCTGAATACGGCAACCTAATTCCATCCTTTTACCATATAAACCCAGCCGAAAGAGTAGGACATAAAATAAGAGGGTACAAACGCACGTACAGTTCACATCGTAATACGCCTCAAAGGCTCCTGACAGAAAGGCTGTTTCTCGCATTGGCACCACTGGAAAACAGGACAAACTTTAAGCACTGGGTCCCTTTAGGACACAGAGACCATCACAGAAGGGGACGGAGGGTAGTTTTGTCCCACTGTACACTCCGTACTATGGGCTGCCTCAGCACAGGCCCAGATCAACAGGCACCAACGGATCATGGATTAGAGCATCCAAAGCTGTGAGCCAAAATAAACCCGTTTTGTGGGTTAATTGTCTGAGGTATCCATCACATATCTCCCAAAACTTTGAGAGTTCACATAGACAAAGTCTAAAAATAGTCAGAGCCAACCAAATGCAATGCAGTGAGACCCGGATGAGAACACGGAGGGATAAGTATTTGCGTAAAAAGGAAATGTGGATACATATACGGGGGCTTTGGCCAACAGTAACGTGTAAGATGGTAATGAAAGGAGTCAGTTGGAGGCTATACCGAACTCTGCAGATTGTTCTCCCATGTTTCTGTACACCGACAACTGTTTCAAAAAACAAAGTTATTAAAAATCGCAACAAGGCACCCTAGCAGACGCCTGTAATCTCTGTAATCTAAGCACTCAGTGGGCTGCCATGGCCACTTTCAGACCGTCTTCGGATACAGGTAACATCCTGTCTCGATAACAACAACAATCATATTAATAAAGTTGCAACTTTAAAAACATTAATGAAAGCTTGCTTTTAGAAAAGGTGTTTTGTCTTTCGTTTTTTTAACTTGGGAGGAACACTCTAGGGATCATGACTTCATCTAACAAGAGGTTCAGGCATGCATGAACGCATGTCATTCTTCCTTTTTCTGAAGCACACACACACACCGTCAAAATCCGGAATGCACTAGAAATCTTTAAGTGTCTCCTTCCATTCTCTCCAAAAAGTTAAATTTATACACTTTTTATCCTTTTTTTCTTTTTTCAGCCTTCGAGACAGGGTTTCTCTCTATAGTCCTGGCTATCCTGGCACTCACTCTAGTAGAACAGGCTGGCCTTGAACTCGGATTCCGTCTTCCTCTGTACCTGTCTCCCAAGTGCTGGGATCAAAGGTATCACCACCTTTTTCTCCTAAAGCTAATTAGTTAGTAATCATCAGGGATAATACACAGCTCCAGGTACAAGTGGCTAAGCTAGTTTACTCTGAAAATAAATTAAATAAATAAATAAAATAAGGACTTGCCTTTGGTCATGCAAGACTCCAAGCCACCAGGTAGACCGTCATCCGGGTCCCGCTCACTTCTGGATCTTGGTTCTAGAAGAGACTGAAGTAAGTCTGGGCTGGACCTGAAGAGTAATGAACACAGCGAGCTCAGGGCGAAAGGCCCAGAAGCGAGCCGGGGACGCGGCGGGCACCCGAGCTCGCCATCCCGCGCGCCCGGGCCTGTCCAGCTCTGCCTTGGGCCCGCGGCCGCCTTCGCCGTCCCCACCCGGGTCGCGCGGCGGAGCCGCCGTGTCTCACCGGTGCAGGTCGCATTCAGCCGCGCCACGCTCCGGGCCCGGTCACTCCTCTTGGTCTAGCTGAAGCGTAGCGAGCTGCAAGCACCACAACCACCCCGCCCAGCAATCTCCCGGCGCCCGGTGCCCTCCACCGAGATTTCTCTAGGGCCAGCCCTGGGATTGGCCCTTACCGAACTCCGCCCTCCAATGGGAACTTCAGCCTGCTTGACGTCACTGATCACCGGGCAAATCCCCAGGCAGCCGCCGTGGAGGTGAAGCGGCCGGGCCCGAGAAAAGGAAAGTGAAATCGGAAGTGGCCGGTGCGTCACGGTAGTCGCCCAGCTGCTGAGGTCGCGCGCGGCCTTGTGCGGGTTAGGGTGCAGGCGCTCCTCGCCTTTCGAGACCCTGTCTCTGACTCCTTGGGGCTAGGGGTGGTCGGCGGTATCTGCAGGGACTGGATTTTACGTGAAATTTCCTCCTCGTGGCTTGCCCTGTGTCCAGGACAAGACCAGACATCAGTCTATATCAAGTGTTTCCAGGATACATTTACAAAAATTACCGTTGCTGTTCCCTCTTAACAGAGCAAAGTGTACACACACACACACACACACACACACACAGAGAGAGAGAGAGACAGAGAGACAGAGAGAGAGAGAGAGAGAGAGAGAGAGAGAGAAGGCGCTTGCCATCAACCTAGATAACTGGAATTCGAATTCCATACCCCCACATGCTGGAAAGCGAGGACACACTCATTCAAGTTGTGCCCTGACTTCAACTTGTCTGCACGGTAATACGTGCGCCCTAACCCTACACTAAAATAAACGTAAAACATTTAAAGATCCTGGTACTAGGAAAACGGAGGCAGAAGAGTTCAAAACCAGCCTGGGCTACGGAGTGAGAATGTGTCTAAAAAGGTGAAAACAGCCGGGCGATGGTGGCGCATGCCTTTAATCCCAGCACTCGGGAGGCAGAGGCAGGCGGATCTCTGTGAGTTCGAGACCTGCCTGGTCTACAAGAGCTAGTTCCAGGACAGGCTCCAAAGCCACAGAGAAACCCTGTCTCGAAAAACCAAAAAA